CTAGACAAGCTACCCTGTCTCTCATGTTGTCTATAGACTATCCGAGACAATGAAATGTTTTATGTATTGGTGCTCATACAAGTAAAAATATGTTGACCTGTTATTTTTCCAAGCATTTCTACTCTGAATTTTATTGACTATAGTCATCACAATAATTTCATGAAGTAGTTATATCTTCTTACTTTTCTTTTTAGGAGCAGAAGAAAACTGAAATACAACAGGATTAAGTATTTCTGATGTGGTTCCTGAAAGCACATCTCCTGGGACATATTTTTGGAAGCAGATCATTAAAACTGCTTTCAGTTTAAAATTTACAAAGTGCCCAATACTCAAGTAGAAAACTGAATAATTCAGTCAAATGTTTGGCTCTTTACTGATTTGATACCAAATATTTAGATTCTTTACCAGGAAAGCTTATTTCTTATATCAAAATAATTTTATCACTTGGAATTGTGTTGGGAATATGAAAACGCTATCTTCATCTTGAAGTAATGAGTATATATTAATTTTTCATGGCTAGAAAGAATGTGCTTTTAATTTAGTAAAAAAAAAAGAGATATCTGTTTAGAATGGATAAAGAAGATGTGGTATATATATACAATGAAAGATTACTTAGCCATCCAAAAAAAAAATGAAATCTTGCCATCTGCAATGATGTGGAAGGAAGTAGAGGGTATTATGCTGAGCAAAATAAGTCAATCAGAGAAAGACAATTACTATATGATTTCACTCATATGTGGAATTTAAGAAACAAAACAGAGAGGAGCATAGGGAAAGGGAGGGGAAAATAAAGCAAAACAAAACCAGAGAGGGAGAAAAACCATAAGAAATCTTAACCATAGGAAACTGAGGGTTGCTGGAGGGGAGGGGGGGTGGGGGATGCAGTACCTGGGTGATGGGCATTAAGGAGGGCACCTGATGTAATGAGCACTGGGTGATATATGCAACTGATGAATCACTGAACTCTACCTTTGAAACTAATAATACACTACATGTTAATTAATTGAATTTAAATAAAATAAAATAAAATTTTAAAAGTTATCTGTTCAATGACACTTTCATGGAGAATTAACAATATTTTAGGTGAGACTGGGAGAAAGGCAACCACCCCCCGTCCCCATCACTATAATGCTTAGTTTGATTAACTGATGTGTAAGATTGTGTTTCTTCTTCAATTTTCAGTATCAGACTGTCGGTCATGCACCTCTTACAAATAGATATGCAAGTATTTATTGAGCACGGATATTGTGACAGGCATTTTTTAATTTAAATTCGATTAGCCAACTTATAGTACAACATTAGTTTCAGATGTAGCGTTCAATAATTTATCAGTTTCACCTAACACCTAGTGGTCATCCCATCATGTGCCCTCCTTAATACCCATCACCCAGTTACCCCATCTCCTCCCCTACCTCCCCTCCAGCAACCCTCAGTTTGTTTCCTAGAGTTAAGAGTCTCTCATGGTTTTTCTCCCTCTCTGATGACTTCCCATTCAGTTTCCCCTCCCTTCCCCTACACTCCTCTGCCCTTTTTCTTATGTTCCACATATGAGTGAAGCCATATGATAATTGTCTTTCTCTGACAGGCATTTTGATCACCACTGTGGGCCTGATGCTATGTGAAATAGGCACATTCTCTGTCCTCACAGATTTATAATGTACAGGCTGCTGGAATAGATTAAAGGCCACTGAGGAGAACTATGACAATTTCTTACAGAGATCAGTCATTCATTGGGATTAAAAGAGCCACCCTTACAGCCTACCTATTTGCTGGTCAAGAATGGCAGCAGATCTTAGGAAGTGCACATCAGCAAAAGCAATCCATGGTGTTCTTAATTACTATGAGCCTTTCATTTTGCCTTTTTCTAAGGTTAAATTTTTTTTTTTGCCAATTTTACAAATACCCATGTATCATTTCCATTTTCATTCAACCTGCATATAAGTAAGCTTTCTTAGGAGTTTTCCATTTTTAGGTTTAATTCTGGGCTCTTTAGATCAAAGCACTCACATGTCTTCTAATCTATCCTATTTTGAGGTCTGTCTTTATGTCTAGGATCCTAGCCTATGATTTTAGAACAGCAACCAAAACCAAATGAATCTCTCTAAGACACCATTATTACAGCTAATTGCTATCATGTATCTTTTCCCCACCTATTTCTCTAGCAGCTTCTCTCATGTCAGATAGATCCCAGAAGCTAAATCTGCACTCTGGTAAGCTAAGTATCATACTGCTTATGACCTCTTATTCCCGTTTTTACTCCATCACCAATTATGCAGTCCATGAGGGATTCTGTCATATGAGGGTCTGTTACCCAGAGATCACGTACATGCAGCAGCTCTTTATTTACAAATACAGAATGGAATGAACACATGGTTCAGAAAGATGTTTTGTTTTTTTTTAATGCTGGTATCTTCTCCTTTACATTAGATTATCCACTATACTTTTTCCCTTTCTCAATTCTGCATGTATGGTAAATAGACTTTTTCCCCCTAAATTCCACTGAAATAGAAATGACTGGAATGTCACCAAGTGTCTCCACTAGCCAAGGCATCACAACTCCAAAATAAGCAGGTGTAAGTTGTTACTATGTACCATGCACTTCCCTGTGGACTTTATATCTGTATGTCATTGATTACTCATAATAACCCCATGACACACATAGATGCTATTATCTCTATTCTGTAGATGAGAGAGCTGAGGGTGAAGAGTTTGTTACTTACCCAAAGCCACAGAGCTACTAGGTGCAGAGCTGTGATTTAAACCCAGACCTGCCTCTCTCTGCCTTCCTCTCACTTTACACTGAGAATGAGGGAGAAGAGTAAAGCAGGATGGAAGGCAGGGGAAAGAGTAGATAGACAGAAGGGAGATGGGTAATGGAGGAAAATGTCATTAATCATTGTTAATTCATTAAGTGAACATTCATTGAGTACCCAGTACTGGCTGGGCATAGGATCCATTCATAAGACAAGGTCCTCACCCTAGAGAGGCAAGTTTGGCTTAAGGGAGTAGAATCACCAGCAAACAACGGCAGTCTCCGCAAAAGGGAATAATCAATACAAGCCACAGTGCGGAGAGCCCAGATAGAGGGCGGGGCCCTGCAAGGGGAAGCTGAGGAAGGCTTTTCGACAAGGTGTCTTCTGAGCAAGATGCAAGCAATACATGTGAGTTCTCAAGCTGGCTAAGAGTGGAAAGCGTAGAGCATGTGGAAGTCAAAGCAAGGACACCACAGAGGTGTGACAGACGGAGTGATGCTCAGAGAATCCCTGGTGCTTCAGAGAGCTGCAGAAGAGGATGCATGGTGAAGACTGTAAGAATAAGAGCAGAAGGGCAGATAGCCTTGACAGCACATTAGGATCAGGCATTAGGGCAGGGAGCGAGAGGCATCATATACGGGAAGGAAGCAAGTAAAAAAAACTGGGGACTGAAGAGGCCCACACAAGGCTCCCAGTCCAAGGGACCATTCTTCATAGCATAACATATGAGGTTATCATAAACTCCAGTGAATCATGAATTTGGTTTTTCAAGTGCTTTTTATTATGACTATGGATTATGACAGTAGGGCACCAAAAGATGCAAGTTTTGATGGAGAGAAGAGTGATATATACAAAGGTAATAATGACCTTCAATCAGACCTTGGGGTCCAAGGAAAGGAAGGTGCAGCCTGAGAAAACTAGGAGCTGAGGGAGAGAGAGAGAGAAAAGGCATCTCTGAACTGCAAATGGCTGCTGAAATCACAGGCAGACAGCACGGAGCCATATGGACTATTCAGTTGTGCTTCGGGCATCACTGGGTTTGGATGTCAGGCACAAGGCCAACAAGTAGGATGAAGACACAAGATGATAGCATCATTACATCTGTCTTAAAAATTAATCAAGGCATTCCAGTGAAAAAAGAAAAAAACCCTTTGAATTGATAATATATCAACCCCTGTAACATAGTTTGAGAAAACATTCTGATGAACAGGCACAGTTAAATATTATCAGGGTTTGGGACTGTATTTTATTGCTCCTTGGGATAATATATTTTCTGTTGTGTGAAGAGCTATATAGTGCCAATGAAGATTTTCTTGATCTGGCTGCTTAAGGGCTCACTAGACCACAACAAATGTTTTTAGAAGTGTCAGATCTGGACTCTTGCCTGTAAGCCTTCCCCACAGATAAGAAATCCGATTTCAAGAAAAGGAAAGGACTCTGTCTCCTAAATTTGTTGAGAAAGTCTTGTCAAGAACATAGCTCTATTATGTACTTGTACTATAACAGCAAAATAAACTTGATAAGCTCTGATTCGGTGTTCTATGGAACACAATTTGTAGTGGGATAAGAGTCAAAAGATATTCCTTATGACAGCTTATAGTTGGACTTTGTGCAGGCTTCATTTAAATTGTAGTTCCTCTGACAGAACAACTGTTTTCTTCTAGTTTCTCTTACTTCTCTGTCTCTGTAGATTATCGGTCCCAGGGTATACACTTCCAATGCGAGAGCAATGGCCGGGAGCCATGGAGCAAAGGTAAGGTTGGCAACGCAGACTTCCAGATAGCCACCTTCAAGTGCAACAACAGCCCCCAAGGTCACCCTGAAGTTCAGCATGGACAGCCTAGACTCCCATGCCACACAGACCTGGGATTCAAGTCTCAGATCTATATCTTATTAACTCTAAGAAATAACTCAAAGCACTTGACCCAATGCCTGGCACACAGTAGACACTCAATGAATAGAAGCTGTTCTTACTTTAAAATTAGAGCATAAAAGGGAAAAGCCGGAGCTATGAGAGCTGCTCACTTCAAAGGCATAAATTCCATCTTCCTGTCAAATGTAAGTACCTCTTTCAACTTCTCATGCATATCTGGAGCCATAAACTTGCCTAAAACTCTTATGAGTACCAGAGGCTGACATTTTATGTATCAATTTCTTGGGTTCTCCTCTCTCTTTCTTATTATTCTTTAGAAGGTGATCTAAAAGGTAAGAGATCAATAAATAGAAACTACAGATTTTTGGTCTTACCATTTTTATCTGCTCTCCTCAGTATCTGAAAGAGAAAAAAAATTTTATTACCATTTTTTTGCAATTGCAGTGAACATTATACTCACACATAATTCGCCCATTAGTAAATAAAAGAAATTCCAATTTTATTTATTTATTTTTTAAGATTTTATTTATTTGTCAGAGAGAGGGAGAGCGCACAGGCAGGGGGAGCAGCAGGCAGAGGGAGAAGCAGGCTCCTCGCTGAGCAGGGAGCCCGATGCAGGACTCTATCCCAGGTCCCTGAGATCATGACCTGAGCCGAAGGCAGACGCTTAACCGACTGAGCCACCCAGGCGTCTCGTGGAAATTCCAATTTTAAATAAAGATTTCCCAGTTGAGATGTTTCCTTAGAATAGTCAGAAACTGAAAACAACCCAAATGTCTTTGAACAAGTGAATGGATAAAAAACCTGTGACACATCCATACAGTGAATACTACTGAGCAATAAAGAGGAATGAGCTCTTGATACACACAATAACCTAGATGGATCGCTAAATAATGATGTTGAGTAAAAACCTAGACACAAAAATTACCTGCTATATGATTCCATTTATATAAAATTCTAGAAAATGCAAACTAATCCATAGCAACAGAAATAAGATTAAGGGTTGCATACAAATGAGCAGGGAGGGCATTATAAAAGGACACGAGAAAACTTTCTGGAGTGGTAGATATATTTATTATCTCAATTATGGTAAGGGTCTTATAGGCCTATATATATATATGTAAAAACTCATCAACTTTTCACTTTAAATATGTGCAATTTAATGTAAGTCAATCATAGCTCAATAAACTGGGAATAAATAGAAAAAAATAAGAAATTATGAATAAATAGAGCTCACATGTCTACATTAAATCTTACTTTACTTCTATGCATTAATTGTATTATCTTTGGTGGATAAGAACTGCTTGGCCATCAGGTATCTTTGGTAATGAGTTCAAAATTTTCTTCCGGGCAACCAGTCTTTTCTCCACTCATGGCCCATGAGCTTGAGGATTGGGCAGAGCACTTGGGCCTGGCAAACAGGGTGTCACATCACTCTGGCCACAGTGATTACTCAGGCAGGAGCACATAAGGCCATGGTTTTGCTTGAATTGTCAAGAGAGCACACTTTCTTCTGCTGACTTTGAACCTGGGAAGATATAGGTAAGAAGCTGCTCTCCCCCCTTCTGTTATTATATCCATCATGGGTTGAACTGTGTTGCCTCAAAACAAAAGTGGAAGTCCTAACCCCCAGTAACTGTGAAGGTGACCTTGGTGGAAAACAGTCTTTGCTGATGTAATCATATTAAGGTAAGATCTTACCGGATTGGGGTGGGCCCTACCTCCAAAGACTGGTGACCTTGTAAGGAAAGCGAGATTCAGAGAAGCTTAGACAGAGGAGACCATATGATAATGGAGGCAGATATTGGTGTGATTTGGCTGCAAGCCAAAGAATGTAAAGGACTGACCACAGTGAGAAGCTAGGGGAGAGGCACTGAGCAGATTCAGACGCAGAGGTAGCGACATCCTACCTACACCTTGATGGCAGCCATCTAGCCTCCAGAACTGAGAGGATACATTTGGTCGTTTAAGGCACTCTGTGTGCAGAACACTGTTACAGCAGCCTTAGGAAATCGATACAACATAAAACCGGGACGTAACGAGCCCTCAAGAAAGCAGTGTCTATCCAGAGACTGAAAGTGGATCCTGGTGACACTCTCTGAGCTTCTTTTTTTTTTTTTTTTAAAGATTTTATTATTATTCATGAGAGACACAGAGAGCGAGAGAGAGAAGCAGAGGGAGAAGCAGGCTCCCAAGGAGCAGGGAGCCCGATGCGGGACTCGATCCCAGGACCCTGGGATCATGACCTGAGCCGAAGGCAGATGCTTAACCATCTGAGCCACCCAGGTGCCCGACACTCTCTGAGCTTCTGATCAAGCCATCCTGACATGATCTCCATTTTTCATTACAGGAGTCTTTAAATTATTGTTTTAAATCTTAAGATAGTTTGGGTTATTTTTTTTTCTGTTAGCAACAGTCAAATTAGCCCTTGCTGATACTGTAGACTGACAGAAAAAAAATCTGCATAATATAACACACAGCTATGTTATATATAGTACCAGAGAAAATGTCCCTTTATCATATTGCAAAGATAACCTTGAATCACATGCAAGGGGCACTTGAGGATCATTTTTCTGAGCAATATAGGTTATGTTAAGTAACCGAGCTGCTCTTAAATTTAGGTCATCATTTCTTGGTAGGCAGCTTGAAACATGAGCAATAGTTTTTACTACCAAAGTTTTACTGCTTTCTACTAAATAAATATTTTCCTCTTTCCTTCTGTTGACCTTATGAAGATGAAGTATGGTTAAATCTAATCATTATTATAATGTGTTTATTATAAGATACTAATATTATTAATAAAAATCTCACCTACGAAAAATTTCCAACAAGTTATGTATCATCCTGACTTGTGTGCATAAGCTGGTCCCCCTTTATAAAGTAAATTTATTTAATTATTGTAAGAAAACTGCTTTCAGTCCTAAGAGCTTCTATGCTTAGAACAGAATGAGACACAAATCCTTTTTACTCCACAGAGGTAATTTCTAGCGGGGGTTTTGGGAATCCATCTCTCCATCATACCCAGCTTCCTCCTCTCTTCTGAAACTATGAAGCAGCTGAGAGTCAGAGAGACATGAAACACAGCCTAATTCTTACCTTTAATATACCCTAAGATTCTATTTCAAGCTCTCTTGTGTCCTTATGAGTAACTACAATAGGAATAACTGCACACCAGAGACTCGGACCCCTGACTTCCATCATTTCATTCCATAAAGAACTGTCTTAAATAGCATTCAGCCTCTTAGCAATGAAATTAAGACAGTAGCTTTCTTTATTAAGACAGTTCTTTGTAATTAAATATGAACAGAACTGTCTCTGCTGCAAATTTTGCCTCTGAGCCCACAGCCTAATAAGAAATGTACTGCAGATGAAAACTAAGTTCATTACATTATACCTCCATAGTCATCTGGATTGGCTAATCTTACAGTTAGTGCCACAGGATAGAGAGTAAATAGATATAAATATTATGGTCAGAATTAAAACTCAAACACAGAGGTTACGCTGTGTTTTTGCAACAATTTAAGAATTCTCCAATAGCATCCTTTACCCCAAAGCTCTTCTTTGAAGGCCTTCATTGAAGTTCCTCATTTCTCACCTGAAGTTATTGAAAGCAGGTTGTTAAAATGCAAATGTTATCTCTGAGGCCTAAAAAACTGACAGTCATTATTTACTGAACTAATATTTGATAAGTGCTTCCTACTCTGTACCAGGTTAAAATTAAGTAATGAGATGAGCCAGTCAGACTCCTGAGAAATGGGGATAGAGGACAGGGAAGTTGGCACTCATCCAGAACACAGAGTAGCATCCAGAAGGGAAGACCTGCTAGGCAAACACTAGTGTGCAGACCTTGACCTCCAGGAGGCAGTTTTGCTACCACTCTGCTAGTTGCCACTGAGCTAGGATGCAGGGGAGTGGGCACTGATGAGGACTGGAGAAAAAGTAATCGGCACATACATTTTTATCTTCTCAGTCTTGCCTAGAATAGGCCTTGTGTGAGCAAAGAGTTTTAAATGTATGATAACATTAAAACTAAGTTTCCCTTATTTCTGCAGGTTCTTAAAATTAGGAGAGTGATATTTGCCTGGCCAATTAGGGTAGACAATGAGGGGGTTAACTGCCATGTTCCCAACTGAACAATTTCCCTCAAATTATCTAGTGCGCACTAGGCAGGATAGGAGATACACAGCTCTAACCGAGTTTGGTCACAGAACCGTTATACCTGGAAAACGGTTTCTTTTTTTTTTTTTTTTTTTAAGATTTTATTTATTTATTTGAGAGAGAGAGCACAAGAGGGGGGAGGGTCAGAGGGAGAAGCAGACTCCCCACTGAGCAGGGAGTCCGATGACGTGGGGCTGATCCCAGGACCCCGGGATCATGACCTGAGCCAAAGGGAGGCGCTTAACTGACTGAGCCACCCAGGCGACCCTGGAAAACGGTTTCTGCTCTGACGGTCCCCTGTCCATCTCACCTCTTGTACAGATGAGTATACGTGCATATGTCCAGGGCTTCGGAATTCAGTATTTTTACCAAGCAAAGCTGTTGCTTGTTTTCACCAAGTCCCTGACCATCCAGGCACTGTGCATTTTGTTCAGGGTTCATGGGTGGGCATGTTTGGTTGGGGGAAGGAAGGGAAGACAGACAGTAAAATCCTGTCTCTCCTTCAGAACCTCCCAGGCCCCACTTCTGCCTCTAGTCAAATGAGGAAGGGCCACTTTCCTTCCAGCTAAAAATCAAAACTGTATGGGAAAAGACAGTGGCAGCAAGTGGTGAAGTTGTAACTAACTTTACATTTACCATGCTTCAGGGGATGATCTGAAAATGTTCTCCCTTTGCACAGTAGTGGAGTTGATTAATGTAAAGATTCAAAAGAGGGACCACATGCTATACAGACTAGTATTCTAGAGTTTATCCTCTGTTATCTGGAATGAAATAACCTGGGAAAAGAGAGTGTAGAGGAGTTAAGAAGGAAAAGAACTGCCATTGTCCTGGTCCTTTTACGTTGCTGAACACGACACCCAGTGCAGTCCGTCTCCTGCATGTCGCGTGGGCCGGGGTGCCCAAACGTGCCTTGCTACCAGCCCTGGGTTTCTAAGCACCCCCAGAGGCATTCAAGAGTATTGATGATGAACTGACATGTCATTCTGTCATTTTTTAGATAGAAATAATATACATCAGATTCATAATGGATCAGTGTCTGTATTAATTTGTGGATTGGCTACTGTTACTTAGGCATTCAATAGGGAACACTGATGTAGCAAGAATAGTTCAAATTTATATAGCTCATTTCCTTTTTCTTCTCAGTTTTCTTATCCTGTGAACTCTCACTTAATACAACAACCTCTCGAATTAAGTACCGTAGTCATCATTGTTGCTGATTTGGACATAAGGAAAATGAAGCAAAATTCAATAGTTACGGTAAATTCCTCTCTGATTTTCTGATCTATGGCTAGTTTCTTACCAGTTGGACATGCCTAGTCATGTCATCAACGGTATCCTCAAAAGCAGTTCAAATCATTTCTCAGAGGACTGATTATGACAGTGGCATTGGAATACAAACACTGGAAATCAAAGTTTTCCTCAAATTTGGAAATCAGTCTGTGTGATGCAGAAGGCTCTAATGGGTTTCATTCCTGTTCCTCTTTGGAATAGGGGATACCTATTATCTACTTACTACAATCTGACTAGAATTCAAAAAGCAATCTTTTTTAGCAGTGCTACTAGAATATATTAAAACAAATCAAATTATGTATTTATATTTCACATTTTATTTTTGCTAAAAACAATACGACCCAGAAATGAATAATTCAAAAATCCCTAAGTAATTAATCCTTTTTCATGTCACATATTTCACCAGAGTGCTAGATTTTTCACAAAATATCTCAAAGAAAAGTGTAAACAAAATCTTTTCTATTCAAGATAAAATCCAGTGGCAGGTTTTGTTTTGTTTTGTTTTGTTTTATAGACACTAGCATTTTACTGGCAAACAAGCATGTCAACATCTCTCGTGTGAAATTAGTTTTATATTTTTTATTTTTAAATTCTAGAAATAGAAGGCAGCGAGGGTATCCTATTCATAGAGTACGTGTTCCTTCAGGACAGGGACCTGATGCTGTTTATTTACAGAGCTTGAGAAAAATCGTGTAGATACAATAATAAATAAGATTTTAATTTCTTCTTTTCTTTTTTCGTAGCAGTTTGAACGGTTGGGTCAAGATTAGTGTGTGTGTCGAGGAGGATGACCTTCATTTATACAGCTCAATCCATTCATCTCTACAGTATCACAAGGATTTGTTCACTGCTTTAAGAAAGTCACAGAGAAGCACCTGATAACCTTGGGGGACAGAGTGAAGATCAGGCCAGAATGAATGGAAGGCTCTCTTGCCCTCTCTGAATCAACTTCATGGCAGCTTAGCCATTGACCTCATAATAGACATGAGTTTCTGGGACCCTGATGCTATCCCTGAACATTCCTTTCTCAGGGGTGCTCTGTGCCCCCTTCTCCCAGCTTGGTTTCCGCAAGGGCTTTTTGGCCCTGAATGGCAGGATTGAAAAGGAAGAATATCAGCCATTAGCATCCAAACATCACTCGATTGACCAGAACAGGAAGAATAAGGTACTTAATCCTACTGAGAGAAGGAATGGGAATCAGATTGTTTTGTGGGAAGATGGCCGGCCAAGAAAGCCTGGATCCCCAACTGGAACTGCATGGTAATGAGGGGAGGAAGCTGCCAGGAGACACAGCTGAGCCTTACCTACAACATTTGCCTTAGACCAGATTTAATTATTCATATGGTTTTCTTTCCCAATTAAAAAATCCCAGCTAATCCATTCAAAATAAACTTGGGAGAGCTCCTCACCCCATCCCCCTTATCTTCATGACATCTGCTTCACCATTATGAGGCTACTAAGTTGATTTCCTCACATTTTCATCTCTCTGCAAATAAACATATTTCAGTTTTATATACAGCTGGATTTTAATAAGAAATGATCTCAGGGAAGGGTAGAGGAAAGAGCACACAGCACTCCTCAAAGCCTTTTGCCAATTTTCTCTCATGCCTAAATGAGAAGGGGCCAGCATTGTCCCCACTAAGCCAGCAACTACCTCCAGGGGACAGCATCAATGTGACAACGGAGGGGCTGAGGGAACAGGAGCTGAGGGATGGGAAAACCATGAATCCTAACAGCAGAGAAAAGAGCTGGGCAACAGGGCGAAAAAAAATAAAGAACAGAAACAACAGAAAGGGACAATAAGGCAAAATTGAGAAATAAATAAGAAACAAAACTGCTGTAAAGGTTAAAAACCCCAGCGTGGGGCGCCTGGGTGGCTCAGTCGTTAAGCGTCTGCCTTCGGCTCAGGTCATGATCCCAGGGTCCTGGGATCGAGTCCCACATCGGGCGCCCTGCTCAGCAGGAAGCCTGCTTCTCGCTCTCCCACTCCCCCTGCTTGTGTTCCTGCTCTCGCTATCTCTCTCTCTGTCAAATAAATAAATAAAATCTTAAAAAAAAAAAAAACAAAAAACAGCGTGAGGGCAGGAAAAGAGAAAAAAGAAAACCAAGAATGAGAAAGAACGATCACCATCTCAGAAAAGAAGGAAGGGAATCAATCCCGAAAGGGGGTGGGGGTGGGGGGAGAGGCCCAAATGAAGAACAGTCAAATGGTAGAATTTGATGAGTAGTAATTAAAACTTGGAGAGGTATAGGGAAGGAGAATAACAGGAGAGAAAAACGGAAAAATAGGAGGTGGCAGTAAAAAAAGTATCATCATGAAAGAGATCTTGGCCACCGCTGTAAAATAGAAAAACAAGTATGTTTTCAAAGTAATTGTTCTCCGTGGGGGTTGGGGAAGGGTGGCGAGGCATCGCAATCCCTACTGCTTCCCCCGTCGCCTTAGAGCTTCAGGGAGATAGGGGGGCGCTGCAAACAGGGCACACCAGAAAGGAGTTGAGTTAACGTTCCCTCCCTCCATTAGTCCCCTTTAAAATGCTCTCTTCACCTGAATGGAGACTGGTGTATTTACAAATCGAGTCCCCAACGAAACTCACGCCGTTGGAAAATTTAACTTCTGCCGTTCGTTCAGGGTTGTTAAGCCCCGAGCTGCAGGCGCAGGGCAACCCTTTCTACAAGTTGAGTGGCAGTCATTTCTCCCGCATTTGCTCGGTGCATTTCCAGGGGGACCGGAGAGCGAGGTAGGAGGTAGTTCTGCTGGTGTTCTGGGGGCTAAACAGCTGATCGGCGGCTGATCCCGCTCCTGGACCGACCGCCCTCCTCCGGGGAAGAGGAAAGATGCAGGGGGGACCACCGACCCAACTCCTGCGCCCTGTACTTACGTCGAGGAAGATCGACATGCCCTTGGACAGCTGCAGGGCAGAGCTGAGCTCTTCGGAGGAGTTGTTGGAGGAGGGTGACGTCTCCCGGGAGTCCTCCATCCTCCGGAGCCGTGGCTGCGGCGGGCGGAGCGGGACTGGGCGGCCGCACGGGCTCGGGCTAGGGCGCGGCCGCAATGCCGCGGGGCTCCGGCTCCCGAGCGGGCGTTCGCTCCCGCGCGCCTCCCTGGCGTCTCTCTCGGCTCGCTCCCCCTTCCCGGCTCGGGCCTCCGCGCTCCCACGCGCTCTCGCTCGCGCCTCCCCCTTCCCTGGGCTGCTGGCGCGGGATCCGTCTCCTCCCTGCACTTAGCAACCGCTGCGCCCCTCGCGGGGAGCAGAGTCTGACCCCTGCACCGCCATTGGCCGCCGCCCGAGACGACCCGGAGCCCCCGCCCCACCCTCGCGCCGCCAGCGGGGAGGTAGAGGACCCACAGGGGTACTGATGCGAGGGCCTGAGCCCTGAGAGCCAAAGCGCGAAGTCAAGGTGCCCCCGAGTTTACCCCGCGGTGGAAATCATACGAGTTAAGAGAGATTCGAATTGATTTTGCCAACTTTGCTTTTCGTCCAAGAGGACCTTTCTACCCCACCCTCCACAAAGGTGGGTGGGTTTAATAGCCACCACAATTAGTGAGGGTCTGGATTGACGTAGGGGTTAAATCATTAAGTTTTGGAATCTTGGAGGCCTGGGTTTCAAACCTGCCTCAGTTGCTCTGTTATTTTGTGATCCAGAAAGTTGTTAAATCTTTAGGCCCCAGTTTTCTTCATCAGTAAAATGGTCACAAAGGTGGTACTTACCTAAAAGGCTTCTGAGGCTTAAATGTGGGACTGCGATGGACAAAGATAGTGAGTGCTAAGGACTCTGCATAGAGTGAGGGGGGGGGAACCCTTTGCTATGTGGAAAGGATTGTCAGGTAAAGTTCAAGCAAGAAAATTTCCAAAATGGAAGTCACAATAAAGAATGCAATCCCTTCCGAAGGGGTACGTGCACCCCAATGTTTATAGCAGCAATGTCCACAATAGCCAAACTATGGAAAGAGCCAAGATGTCCATCAACAGATGAATGGATAAAGAAGATGTGGTATATAAATACAATGGAATATTATGCAGCCATCAAAAGGAATGAAATCTTGCCATTTGCAATGACGTGGATGGAACTGGAGGGTGTTATGCTGAGCGAAATAAGTCACTCAGAGAAAGACATGTATCATATGACCTCACTGATATGAGGAATTCTTAATCTCAGGAAACAAACTGAGGGTTGCTGGAGTGGTGGGGGGTGGGAGGCATGGGGTGTCTGGGTGATAGACATTGGGGAGGGTATGTGCTATGGTGAGCCCTGTGAATTGTGTAAGACTGTTGAATCACATACCTGTACCTCTGAAACAAATAATACATTATGTGTTAAAAAAAAAAAAAAAAGAAGGGGCGCCTGGGTGGCTCAGTTGGTTAAGCGACTGCCTTCGGCTTGGGTCATGGTCCCGGAGTCCTGGGATCAAGTCCCGCGTGGGGCTCCCTGCTCAGCGAGGAGCCTGCTTCTCCCTCTGACCCTCTCCCCTCTCATGTACTCTCATTCTCGCTCTCTCAAATAAATAAATAAATCTTTAAAAAAAAAAGATAGCAGGAAGGGAAAAATGAAGGGGGGGAATTCGGAGGGGGAGACGAACCATGAGGGACTATGGACTCTGAGAAACAAACTGAGGGTTCTAGAAGGGAGGGGGGTGGGGAGGGGGGTTAGCCTGGTGATGGGTATTAAAGAGGGCACATTCTGCATGGAGCACTGGGTGTTATACACAAACAATGAATCATGGAACACTACATCAAAAACTAATGATGTAATGTATGGTGATTAACATAACATAATAAAATTTAAAAAAAAGAATGCAAACCCTATCTATGCTAAGCATTTAAACTAGGGTAATTATTCAATATTTGGGGGCTTCTATGAAAGCTGCAAAAATGGGAATATCACCTTTCATCAGAAGAGGATAATATCCACTGTTTATTGGGCATCTAAAATGGACAAGGTGCATGCCGGTTGCTGTGTGGGTTACAAAGTTGAACAATCTGGGAGCAAGATGAGTCAAAGAGAATCACACCTGTCTTAACAGAACGCTACCTATGAGAATTGATGGGGTGGATCCAGATCTCCATTTTTTGGCCTCCTAAAAAAAGGAGTATGTTTTTTCTAGAAGATATGTCCACAAAACATATGGGACAAAATGTGTCTTAAGGCATATAAAAAGGGCTATGGGTTTCTTAGGAGGTACAGTTTTATACTCTGTTGGTACCTTTGCTTGATAAAAGGGGTAGTATTTGAAATGGATCTTAAACATTGGTAGATATTCCATAGGTGATAGAAATAGAAGGAAAAGGGCGCCTGGGTGGCTCAGTTGGTTAAGCGACTGCCTTCAGCTCAGTTCATGATCCTGGAGTCCCTGGATCGAGTCCCGCATCGGGCTCCCTGCTCGGCGGGGAGTCTGCTTCTCCCTCTGACCCTCCCCCCTCTCATGTGCTCTCTCTCTCTCTCTCATTCTGTCTCAAATAAATAAAAAAAAAAATCTTTGAAATAGAAGGAAAAGATGTTCAAGGTAGAGGGAACAGCCTGAGCAAAGGCATGGTACCAGGAAAGCACATGGAATCTGTAATCAGTCCACTGGAATTCTTTGAAAATATACAGAATCCCAGTCCCTACTCCAGGCTTATTGAATCAGAATATCAAAGTATGAGACTCAGGAATCTAGATCCTGCTCCCACTCGTGATTCATATACAGGTGCTCTGTAGCAGGGCCAGGACCAGGATGAGGCCAGGAAAGCATCTGGGGCACAAAATGTAAGGAGATGCTCCCTTGCACTTGCACGATCCTGAGAGTGACTACCTTCTTCAATTTTGCACCCTAGCTGCCTCATTCATCTCACGCAATTCCCAGGCCTGCTCCGCAGGTCAGTGTTTGTAAGACATGGATCCAGTTGTTCTCAACTCTGGCTCTAAATGGACTTACCAAGGATGTGTGGCAATTTTTAAAACATGGCCACAAATTCACTGACATGCTTCCTTCCTATAGAGAAGTGGGTCCCCTCCCCTGAAGGATCCTGACTCCTTTGATGAATAAAATGCAGAAGTGATGCCAAGTGCCTCCTGAGGCAAGTATGTAAAAGACCCCACAATTCTACCTTTTTCCAGGGTATATTTGCTCCTGGGCTATCTGGGGCAATTTGACTACTTGAGCCACCATGCTTTGAGGAGGCTATATGGGGAAGCATATGTAGACCTGCTGGGTAACAATACCAGCTGAGCCCAGCCTTTGAGGAGTCCCAGGCTAAGCCGTAAAAAAGTGAATAAAGAAGCCTCTAGATGATTCCAGCACCTAGCTATCTGAGACACCTAGCCATTTGTGGGTTTTGAGCCAAGACCCCAACATCATAGAGCAGAGACACACCATCAGTGCTGTGTTCCTTCTGAATTCTTGACCCACAGAATTTGGGAGCATACTGAAATGGCATCTGTTTTATACAAATAGGTCTCGAGTAGTTTGTTTTGCAACAATAGATGACCAGAATAAGGAGCTTTTAAAAACTCCAAAAAAAAAAAAAACAGAAAAACCAAATTGATGCCTTATGCTTCACCCCCAGATTCATATTCAGTTAGCATGCAGTGGGCCCTGGGCATCAGCATTTTTTAAAAAGCTCGCCATGTAATTTTGATGTGCAGCCTGGATTGAAAACCACTGAGCTGGTCTATAGTGTTCATATAGGGAAATAGTAGAATGAAACATTAGAAGATAGGCAGAGACCATAAAGTGAAGACTCTTGAAGTCCAGGGGTAGAACTCTGGACTCAATTAGGGTGGAAGTTAGAGACATTACATTCATAAGGGCAGATGTTAATTGGAACAGTGCTTGAGAAATATTAATCTGGCATCATTGTGTGCTTTTACCTTATTAACCGTAAATCTTACTATCTGCGCTGCTGGAATAGCGCCTTCCCTTGGCCAAGGGCTCACCAAAGGAAAAAAACAAAATCATTAAAAACAGACTGTCCAACTCAACAACTGGGTACTGCTCGTGAAATTACTGAAAAAGAAAAGCTAGAAAGAGAAGGAGAAGGGGTGCTGCTCACGAATATCAAGCTACCAAGTTTAGGAAAATATATTATTTTTTCCTGCCGTGCATGGAGCAATGAACAGATATTTCTGCATCAAGTGCGGTTTAAATCTGGCCACTCTAACCCAAGCTGTGGGTCCCTCAGCCCTCAAATTCAGCCCTGCAAGTGGTAATGTTGTGGTGCAAGTCCCACAGTAACAAGAGCAGGTGACAAAGATCTTCTCCGGTTATAAATGAAAAACAGGAGAATAATCAGTAGTCATCATTCAAAACCAGGGAGCTATTGGTAACACTTCAGTAAGAATGTTCCTTTTACCTTCGCCAACATGAATGATATTTCTATACCTGTGGCTTTGCTTATTTCCTCTAATGAGATGTAAAGAAGAAATATAAATTATTAAACAACCAACTAGTTCTTATTTTTTTTTTTTACAATTTCAGCATACACACCATAATGCTATAGCTGACTTCTCTTTTTAATGGAAATGTCATGTTCATAGAAGGCTCCAATAGAAACGGATGGCAATTAGATTCCCATTCACAGCCAAATTCAATAGGCTCTACAAAGTGGTAACCAAACATATTTTTAGTTTGTTTTTTTTTTAATGTAGAAAGCATGCATTTTTGAAAACTGTTTTCACACATCATTTTTCTGAAACACAGATGCTTCCCTGCTGTATGTAGTATCAGTTACAAATGGAGACAGCCGACTTGGGGGAGGAAATGCATCTCCTTACCATATTCTTTGTAGCAAGATCCTGAGGGGGAAAAAAAAAGAATTGTAATTCTAGATTCCAGCTCTCAGGCTTCTTAGGATAAGACATTGACACGAAGGTATTTCTAGCATTTCAGGAGATGATAGCTGTGCAAGAACATATTATATTTCAATCCATCTCTGCTTCATGGAGGAACTGTTATCTAAACCATTTCAGACAGCCAGGAATCGATCTTATTTATATTTTAAAAATTCTACAGAAGGCTATTCTCTGGAGCAATGATTCAGAACACTTTCAGTCAGTTTAGTGGACATTTCCATTGCTTTGGAAGCCTAAGGTCCAAACCTTCCTTATTTAGGGACATGTCTCCACAGCGAGGACCCTGATTAGGGGCAGGATGCATCTCTTCAGAGAAGGGAAGATGGTCCCAGGGGACAGGGACAGATCACAGATCTGTCAGAGAGCAGAGACAGATCTAGGCTAAGTGGATAGGATGCTTTGTTTGGGACTTTAAGTCTGGATCAAGGAACATGAAGGGAACTTTATTAATGGCGGTGGACAAAAGCAGCATACTGTTGAGGGGCCACTATGTCAGCAGAGCCCCTGAAGACAACTTTACCACATGATGAGGGAACTCCGGCTGTGGTTTTGGCAGCCTTGTCCTCTAAGCCTGATCTCTAGCTTTCCTATCCACTTCCTTATTGACCAGGCATCCTTCAAAGTTGTTTTTTTCCTGTTTTACATTGGTCAGTTAGTGTGTATATGTGAGCATTTAAGTTCTAGTCTCTTAGAAAATTTCAATTACATGGGGCGCCTGGGTGGCTCAGTCGGTTAAGTGACTGCCTTCGGCTCAGGTCATGATCCTGGAGTCCCTGGATCGAGTCCCGCATCGGGCTCCCTGCTCAGCAGGGAGCCTGCTTCTCCCTCTGACCCTCCCCCCTCTCATGTGCTCTCTCTCTCTCTCATTCTCTCTGTCTCAAATAAATAAATAAAAAAAAACCTTAAAAAAAAAAGAAAATTTCAATTACATAATACAGTGTTATCAACTGTAGTCACTTTGTTTTACATTCGATCTTCACTTTATTCATCTTGTACACCAACATCTCCCTTGCCCCCACTCTCGTGCAGCCTTTGGTGCCCACTCTTCTACTGTCTGTTTTTGTGAGTTCAACACTTTTCTTTTTAGGACTCCAGTATAAGTGATACCATGCAGGATTATCTATCTCTGTCTGGGTTATTTCATTTAGCATAATGCTCTCAAGGCCCAGCCATGTTGTCACAAATGGCAGGATTTCCTTCTTTCTCACGGTGACTATATCACATCTTCTTTATTCATTCATCCATCATTGGACACTTAGGTTGTTTCCACATCTTGGCAACTGTGAATAATGCTGCAATGAACATAGGAGTGCAGATATCTCTTCAAGATCCCATTTTCATTTCCTTTGGATATATACCCAGGAGTAGGATGACTGGATTTTTGGTAGTTCTATTTTTAATTTTTTGAGCAAGTTCCATACTATTTTCCATAGTGGTTACACTATGGAAAAGTTTATTAGAAAACTTGGAAAAGCTAGTAAGAGTTTTTGATGCTTGAACTATGATAAATTCAATCTAAATTTCTTCTATTAAAGAGAGCCATTTGTTAAGTCATTGGGGAAAAATGGTTAGGAAAAAATAGTTCTATTCAGACATTTGTTTAGTGTCTGCTTCATGCTAAGCAACTGACAGGCACAGCTGGGAAAATGCTGAGAAAGACTGGCCCTTGCCCTTGCAAAATATATGCAACTTAAAGAGACACTATTTTAATAGATAATTTTAATGCAGTGAGACAAGAGTTAACATCAGAGGCTTGCAGTGAGCGCAGAGAGAGGACAGAGGAGGGCACAGCTCCCCATTAGTATCTATTCTGCATGACCATTTCTGTAACTGTAGATGGTCAAATTAGGACTCAGAAATAGTAAGGGCCATGGGCCAAAATGATTAACAAATAATGGCTATTTTCCTACGAGCCATTTTAACCTGGGGATAATTTTTTCTCTTATACCAATGTGTGAGTAAAATAAAGTTGCTGTCCAGTGTTTAATTGACATACAACTCTAGTATCTTTTAGTATCAAACAGACCTAAATACCCAGTATCATCCATCAACCCTATGCAGTGTGCCCTGTCTTCATCCTTTCACAGGCAAACTTTCTTGTCTGTAAAAACAAGGTTGAGGTATTGTGTGCAAAGAGCTTAGCAAACACTAGGCACAGAGAAAGTGTTCAACAAAGATAATCATTGTTATCCCCACCAGCATCATTACTTTGCAAACATGTTGGTAGGACCAGAGAGACGTCACATAAAATGCATGGTAGGGTGTCTGGCAATTAAGGGTGTTTAAAAACAAATTCAGCTGAGTAAATTTGAAGATCTGATTAGCTTTATTAAACAATTCATGAATTGGGTAGTAGCCCACCTAAGAAGTAGAGGGGAGCTCCACCGAGCTAAACAAAAGAGAGGGTTTTAAAGGCAGAGAGAGGGCATTGAAAAAAGAAGAAGAAAGAAATTTATTAGCAAAGAATGCATTGTTTAGGCAAGTTTGCTCTCCTAAGGGGAATAGAAGGCGTTTATCAGAAATTTCCTACTATGGACCAGGAAATTCCATGTTGCCTGTTAAAGGTCACATTCCCTGGGGGATTCCTTGCAGTTAGGTCACGTACTCAGTATTGCTTTACTGACACCATTTGGGGCCTGCGGTTTTCTTTTTAACAGGGTTCTGGTAAGCAGTGGTGGTCACTGTTATTATGAGATTGTTATCTATATCCTTGGACACCACTGATTGCTCCCTCCTTGAAACTCATCCTGGCTTTCTGATCCTGTTCTTCCCCTGTTTAGTCTTCTTCATGGATCTTCTAATTCTTCCAAATGTTAATGTTTTCTAAACAGTGTCCCTGATTCACCTTTTTCTTTCTTTCTTGCTCCCCTCCTCACTCCCTCTCTCTACTCACTGACATTATCCAATCCCATTGTTTTCACTGGTCTTTAGGCTGATGACTTTGTAACCAGCAGACCTCTCCCCTCCTGTGGATTCTCATTTCAGTCTGCCTGGTGCACCTCTTCCTTATGAATGTTTCTTAGGCATTTTGAATTGAACATGTCTAAAAATGCATTCATCATTTTCTCATAATTATCCTATCTTCCATATCCTGTTGAAGAATGTCATCCTTCATCCATTCATCCAAAAAAGAAACCTGGGAATAACTTCAGACTCCTTCCAACGCTGCCTCTCACCCTGCCTCCATCTCATCCTTACCCCTATCCAATCAGTTGCAAAGGTTATCTTGCAATCCATCCTGTCCCTCCATCCTCACTGCTATCACATGAGATGAGGTAACTGGTATCTCTCACCTGGAGCAGTGCCCTAGCCATCAGGTTTCCCTGCCTCCAACCTGTTTTCCATGCTTTCCATCTTCTACAGAGCCAGCCATCTAAAACTCACGTCTCAGAATAGCATACCCCTGCTTAAAGTCCTTCAGAGGCTCACTGGAGCCTTCAAGATAAAATAACCTTTGCCTCAGTCACCTCTTGCCATTCTCCCTCTGCCTCCTCCCCAGCTTCAACATTCTAAGCACGCAGATTTACTGGAGTGGAATGGAGTGGTTAAGCCAAATTCTTATCTAAAAGACCTGGGCTCAAATCCCAGCCTACCTTTTTATTACCATTGAATAATACTAAGGCACTTGACTGAGCCCCTCTTTTTCTCAACTTATAAATAGAAATAAGAATGCTACCTACTGAGCATGGTTTAGATGAAGATTCAGTTAAATAATGCATGTAAAACACTTAGCATGGTAACTTGCACAAAAATAATGGCACTAATATGTGGCTATTTATCATTACTTGCAGATCCTTGGATATGCATTGCTCTCCCATGCTCCTGGGCTGTTGCCCTTGGCATTCTTTGCCTAGAATAAACATCTTCCTTAATTGGCCTGCCCTTCATTTAGTCCGGTTTTAAGAATCAGCTCAGGCATCTTTTCCTCTCTCACCTCCCCGCCCCCCCCCACCCTGCCCACCCCCGCCAATCCCTGTAGCACTCCTTGTCCCCACAGCACTCTCTACATGCCTGTGTCGTGTCCCTTATCACATTTTTTAAAAAGTAATTCTTTAGTATCCTCTTTGCTTGCTTCCCTGCCTAAACTCTGAGATGCTAGAAAGTAGGAACTGCATTTTTCATCTGTATCTTGTGTCTGGTAAATTGCTAGACACATGGCGGACACTCAATAGATGTGGAATGAATGAATAAAAGAAAGAAAAATTAAATAAATCTTATACTCAACATAGGAATTAGAGTAAGAGAATGAAGGATGTTACCTGCTTCCTTGTCATAATATCCAATTACATGAATTGATGCTAAAAAGATACAGAGACAAAGCAGAGGGACTACAAGATCTGGAGGAGGAGTTGTAAGCATCAACTGCTAAGCTGGCTGAAGCTGTGCTGGGTCATTAAGTTACAGAAGAAGGGAAATACAGCAGAGGCTCCCCCACTCCTCAAAATGTTAAATGTTGATGAACTTAGCTACCATTTCACTAATAGAAAATATTGGAAATAGTATTATAGTTTTATTTATATTTTAGTTAGTTAACGTGCAGTGCAATATTGGTTTCTGGAGTAGAATTCAGTGATTCATCACTTACATACAACACCTAGTGCTCATCACAATAAATGCCCTCTTTAATACCCATCACTCATCTAGCCCATCCTGCACCTGCCTCCCTCCATTAACCCTCAGTTTGTTCTCTATATTTAAGAATATTTTATGGTTTAACTCCCTCTCTCTTTTTCCCCCATTCCCCTATGTTCATCTGTTTTCTTTCTTAAATTCCACGTATGAGTGAGATCATACGGTATTTGTCTTTCTCTGACTTATTTCACTTAGCATTATACTCTCAAGCTCCATCCACGTCATTGCAAATGTCAAGATTTCACTTTTTGATGGTTGAGTAATATCCCCCAGCACTCTGGCTGAGTTGGGAAGCGGTGGGAGGAATCAGA